ACGGACTTCCGGCAAACTCCTGGACTTGCGACGATCCACTTGGCAAGTTCCGACGAGCTCCTTTGGCAAGCTTCTGGACTTCTCGGATTTGTTCCCGCAGAACCTCCGACGACTGTCCGAACTTCCGTCGAGCTCTCGAACTCCCAACGTGATCATTGTCATGACTCCGGCGCAACTCCTGCGCATATCTTACTTTCATCGTAGTTAATCCTGCACACTTATCTCAACACACAGATTAGACAAACAAATGACAATTGACTTCAACATCAAAATCCGAGATTCAACAATATCTAATATAGATTATCTAATTAGATAGACTCAGATTTTTTTTCATTTATGGAGTTTTATTATTTAAATTTAATTTGATTGATTCAGAATAAAGACATAATTAAAAAGTATAAGTTATATAATGTCGTTTTAGTGATTATAATCAATTACGAAAATATTAAGTGACTTTCATAACTGATTAAACATATATTAAGTGTCTTTCATAAACATATTTGTTTGTTTGTTTTTTTTCTTGTCATAGATATAAGCAGTACAAATTTTGTCATTCAAAATTAACGAGGGGTAATAAATTTGAAGGACAATTCGACATTTCCAAACTTCTCACGCGGAACCCCCAAAACCCTCGCCGCTCGCTCCGCCTTCCCCGTCCCGTTTCGAGATCTAAACTGTAGTCCACTCGCTTTGACCGCCATGATCGTCGCCGCCGCCCGTAGGTCGCTCATGCGCTCGTCTTCCCTGCGGAGCGCCGCCGCAGCTAGAATCGGAGCCTCGCGCGCTTCTCTACGCTCGCCTCCGATGTTGAGGCCTGCCGCCACTCCCTCCCGTATCTTAAGGTATTTGTTGTCCCAAGTGCCTCTTAGGGCTTTGATTTGATCTGTTCCCTTCTCGATCCTCGTCTTTTTCGTCGATGACGCTTATCATCTTCAGAACCTATTAGGTCTCCAGTTGAGACGATCTTCTGTGTGGAGTCCCTGCTGCCGATGCACAGTGCCACGGCGTCGGCACTGATGACATCAATGCTCGCCGTTTCGCGCAGGGGTTATGGGTGGCTTTCTGAAGGTGAATTCCAAAACCCTTATTTGACTGCATTTCTCTATGGGTTACGTATAACTACTTTCAGCAATTTGTTTCTTTGGACCTGTTAATTCTGATCTTCTTGTAATGAATTATGTAAAATTGCGTGTTTTAGCTCTTGCTGTTGCGTTTCTTTCCATGATATTATCAAGGTTTATCGTGGATTTTAGCATGCAATTAAGATACTTGAAAAAGATACGTAAACCTTTAGTCTTCGAGAGAAAGCAATAAAATGACTGATCACAGTTTCGAGGGATTTTCACCTAATAATGCTTCTTTTGAGGCTTGCCTCTTGTACTTTAAGTTGAACACAGTGCTAAGAGCTGCACTTTGATTCCCAGAAGGGGTTTCTTTTACTTACACCTTACGATTAGTTTTTCACTTTTTTAATGATGCTTCTTTCTTATTGTTCATAAGGATGAGATTTACAAAGTCACATGAATGGTGTATACCATGGAATTTATGGTTGTGTATAGACTTAAAGGATTAAAAATGAAGAGATTTTGTAGAAGATAAAGTGATAGCAATGAAGTCATCCAAGATACAATAGATACTTGAAAATTAAGATGTCCATGGGTATCTACATGGTGCATGGCCTGACTGTAGGCTTAATGTGGCTTCGGTATGTGGGGATCCATGTGAACTGATAACAGTGTAGAAATAACCTTAACAAAGAATTAAGATATATGAATGTCCATGTGAAGACTGCTACAGCAGAAAAGAGTATGGGGCTTCTAACAGTATTTTACATCAGCAGATCCCTTTTTGTTCATCCCTGGTATATTTGTCCTTCAGACTATAATTTTTTGCTGGTGTCATGATCTGGATTTCTTTTTTGCATTTTGGTGTAAAACCGAAAGTAATACTGATTTTTTTTTTTGCATTCAACCAGCTGGAAATGATGACGTGTGACAAATACTAGGTGCAATCTAGCAAATAAGTTATCTGATCTTCTCAAAAATACAGGTTGGCATAATGAAAATTCATCTTTTTCTTGGTTAAATATCTGGTTGTATCATTCATGTTCTGATTGACTTGATATGTTTATCAAGGCAATTTTTGAGAGAATTAAGCAACTATTGCTCCGGTTCAGAACAACAGCTTTAAATAACCATGTTAGTGACTTACCACAATTTTCAAACGAAGTAGTGTGGTTTCATGAAAACATGAAATTGCTATTCAGTTATTTGAATTGCCATTTGCACTGAATATTTCTTGTTTCCCTTGACTAGGTGACTTGGGCTTCAGACTAGTAACATCCTTGTTTTCCTTAAATACTGCTTTCAGTTTATGTCATTGGTGCTGCCTGTTTATGTATGCTTGTCATGTGATTTCTCCATGTACTTTCTACTGACTTTTCGATAACAAGATGACTCATTTTATTAACTAGAATACCAAGAACATTTTGCATTTAGGTGAGGAAAGCACTATACTTTTGCACTCTTTATACAATGTCACCAAAATGAACAGATATATGATATATTGTGTTTACAGTACTTGCTAATGTTGATGTGTTATGATATTAAGTGTATCCATGCAGTATTTTGGTCATGAAACTCCTAATATGTTGAGACAGAGGTGGCTTGTTAAATCATGGTAGAAATTGATTCACATTGGTGTTGTGAACTTCAGCTAGATGAACCAGTACATTTTTTCTTTGTTCCCTTATATGTTGTATGGTCTCAACACATTTTCCATGTATTCTTAGAGCTTTGTGGAGCTCAAAAGTGAAAAGTGTGATAAAAAATTATGTTGGCATGCTTCCACCCACAAAATAAAACGAATGTCATTCTTTCTTTCTAATTTGTCATGCTGGTATGTTGTTAGTGATGAGTTCATTAGTATTAGTAGCTTAGTTTCTGGAAATGTTAGAATAATTGAACGATTCTGGAAGCATTAGAAATGCCTCCTTTTTTTGTTTAACATCAATTTTAAGTTAAACCCATATGTTTATGTTTTGCTTATGTTGTTCGTGGGACTTACGAGTTGTGTTATTTGAAGCTAGTCACCTATTATCTTGTATTTGCTAGCTGTATTTTAGACTGATGTTTTTAAAGGTGTCATTTTTTGATTTTTTCTGGTTAATACGTGTCTGATATGTGCAAACTTGTTGATTTCTCATTTGTTAAACTCTGTGATTTCTTATAATGGAAGGTCTTTGAATTGAAACTGTCATCCCTCTTTAACATTTTGGTTTATTAATGCTGTATCTGATGTTTTCTGACTAGAAGTTTTGTCATAGAGGAAATTTTGGTATTTTTTGTTTACTGTGACTATTATGATTGATCACCATTTGAAGTTGTATCTGAGATACTTGGCCCTTGTGTTGCAGATGGATGAGTGGTAGATTTTCGAGGACACTGCACTGATCATGGAGCCACAGATTTCTTGATAATGAAAAATTTTCTGGAAGCAATTTACTGTAGGTATAGCTGCTGGAGACCAGTGGATGGTACAAATAAAACCATGCTTGTTGAGACTATTGGTTTCTGTTGCCCATTTCTTTCTTATTTCTCGAAGCAGAAATGTAGATTGTTTTCTTAAACAGTTGAGACATCACCGGCATGGATTAGCTGGCTGTCTGGGTTAAGCTTATGATGGGCTACTACTGTACTGTCTCGAGCAAAGTGAGAAATGCACACCTTTTTCATGGTTGTCGCAAAAGTAGTAAGAGGCCCAACTGCTCTTTGCTTGTTGCTTTTGTTACATGCTGTTGCTGAAGCCATTTTTCTCAATTTTTATTTACTTGCATTGCCTGTTTCCCTTGTCTGAATCATTTTTACGATTGGAGCTAGACATATAGGCATTGTAGTACAAGGCATGTTAGGTTTGGGGCAAGATGATACTTAAAAAGACTGGTTTATTCCATTCAAGGATTAAAAGATTTGCTATTGATATCATCAGCACTTAAAAAGTCCAAGTTTCCATTATTTGAAGTGGTATGCTAGGCTGTACGTGTGACAGGCTTTCTTTATATTCTCTACATGGCCAGCCAGTTTAGAGTGCTTAGGGTATTATTGGTTGTCATACGAGCTCTCATTCATGGTTACCTAAACCGGATAAGTGGGGGGTGCAAATGATAAGTGGTGAATGTGGGTTTTGATCTTAGAGATGTTGCAATAATATTATAAAGCAATTTACTACCTAAGTAGTTAGTATATTAGAAAATAATATGCAATGAGATTTTAAATCTTCATAAATTATATATACTATAATTGTTAATGTTTTAAATATAGTTTTGTACAATGAGTGTTTGAATCTTTAATTTAATTAATTTTTAAAGTGTTTTGAATCTTCAATTTAAGTGAGTTAGGTGTAAAAATTTATTTGTTTATTTATTTTTTACGTAAAGAAAATGAAGAAGTGGGAATTTGGGTTCAGGATTTTCGATAAATTGTCAAGGATTGTATAGCTGACACACTTTTTTTTTATTTTAGAAAAGACTATTAATACAAAAGTTGAGTTTAGTATTTGCTTTTGCTACATGTATATTCATGTACTTATATCCATATTTATTTTCTCGAATACACTCGTTCTAAAGCATCATTCATACAAAAATGCATTAACGCTATTAGCGGCGCGTCATCACATCTCTGAAGAATGTTTTCATGATTTATGGGAAAGTGGATTGAAGTGATGGAGATAAAAAAAGTCCAGTCAAGCTCGGCTGACTTGGAAGGTTCCGACTGCTTTCTTCTCCTCGAAAAAGGATGGACACGTGGATGTAAACCAAGCCGTTGTAATAAAGTTGTCTTCCTAACAGCCATACACAGCATCCACCCTTAATGAGTCTTATTAGTCCTCTCATGCACGTGTCAATATACCATTTGTCTAGTAGCTTAATTATTCTTGTCACCATAACTTGAAGTGGATCCTTAAACATACGGATGGGGATCGAGTGAAAGGTACTAAATAAAATCAAGCTTGAAGATTCCATCTTTACCGTGCACGTGTGCCGAAAGCAAATGACACCCAAGAACTGGCGCGCCCTTGCCCGCTATAAGGGACACGTGGAGCACCGAGGTCGGGTCAAACAAAAGGAGGAGAACGAGCCACCATTTTTTATCCCCTCTCTCGGTCGATCTCGACATCTTCCTCTTCCGTCTTCCCTCTTCCCAACCCCAAACCCCCCCACCCCGCCCGCTTCTCTCTCTCTCTCGATCGCGAGTCCGTCGTCTTAGTATCGAAGAAATTTGAGCTAGCAGGAGGAGACGAGAAGGAACCGACTCCTCTTTGTCGGATTTCGAGGTCCGACGTCGCCGCCATCGAGATTTCTCGGGGGCGGACACGGTCGATGGATTCCGATCTCTGGATCTCTCGCCTCGCCGCCGCAAAGAGGCATTACTCGATTCAGCATCAGTACAGCTTCCAATCAGGTCATGCCCCGATCACTCCTCCGTCCGCCCTTCCTTCTCTTTGCTGTTCCCGTGGAACTCCATAGTTCGATTGGAATCCTTTTGCCTGTGTACCGTTTGCCGAGTTATAAATTGGATTTTGATAGATCGGTTGAGCATCGATGAGTTCGAGATGGAGGAGGAGGAGGAGGAGGAGGAGGAGGATGTCCGGCCGGATTTCCCCTGCCCCTACTGCTACGAGGATCACGACATCACGTCGCTGTGCTCCCACCTTGAAGAAGAGCATGCTTTCGAGTCCAAAGCCACTGTCAGCATACAAACCCTATCTATCTAATGATATTAAGGAATGAATATGATGATAAATGTCAAAATAAATGAGTTTTCACCCAAAATTAATAGTATTAGTTTTTATTTGTCTTTGCTTTTATATATATATATATATATATAAAGATCATATCTCATCTAACAACTTAACCTTTTAGATGCAATGATATTGATTATAAGTTTAATTTTGTATCGACACGACACGAAAGGTCCTTTGTTCAAAATTTATCGGGATCACGCTTGTAAAAAAAATATTTTTTGATTAATTTTCCGTGTTGAGTTGAGCAGTTTGCCCTCACACTCTATGGGAAGCATTAAAAAAATATAAATTAAGATTGTATCTCATCTGATAGCTTAAGCTCTTGGATGTAATAGCATTAATAAATAAATTTTAAATTTTAAAATAAAAATTTATAATCTAGAAAATATGATTTTAGGATTTCCTTGGCTTGGATGCTAAAGATCGTAAGCTTCCTCTATTAGGGAAACTTCCTAACCTTATTCAAAAGAAATTTCTAGAGTAGAAACTATCGCCAAAGAAGTTTGATAAGTAGAATCGAATGCTAGTCTTATCTTTCTCTTTATTTGCACAAATCCCCGCTTATATTCTCATGTAGATGTCTCGGATCCTTTAGATTCCAAACTAGGGATTATTGTCTCTTTTGTGGTAGATTTGAAGCTCTTATAGTTTCTCTTGCCATGAAATATCCACTTTCTTTGATAATCAAACATGAGAGATCTAGCAATACGTGTAAATTAGACAAAGGGAGAATGAGTTTTTCGTAGAATTAGATGTGTCTTCTATTATTCATATATTTTAGTGGTCATCAAGTTAATGAGTTAATTATCCCATCGAGCTAAATCATGACACCATCTATTCCAGAAAATTATATTTGCTCAGTTTTCTTTTGACAGGTTTGCCCTATCTGCAATATAAAGGTTACAAAAGATATGCTGAACCACATCATCTTCCAACATGGGCACATATTCAAGATATCCTTTACACTGTGTTACAACTTATAAATCATGCTGTCATGTGATCGTAAAGATCTTATCACTTGTTTTCTTTGACAAAGGATTACCTGCAAAAACATCGAAGATTACGCAGATTTGGGATCCCTAGCGGTCACACACTCTCTCTTTTGGGGAGGGATTTGTATGAGTCTCATTTGCAGGTGCTTTCGGGAAGTGCTGGTTATGGATCAAACCACATCGATGAGTCAAATATCGCAGCCGATCCATTTCTTTTGACACTTCTGATGAACTTTCCAACATCTGGGGCAGAAGAAGCTTCAAAACGTTCCCCCGATGAGAATTCTTATAGGAAAAAAGAATCAAATTTACCTTATTCAAAATCAAGGTAATTTATGTTTATTTTTTTTCCTTAAATAAGCATTGATTTCTGCCGATATATGGTCTTAGCATAAAAGGTTGTAAATGGGTAACGTTTGGGGCTTAAGATATTTAACAAGAGGATCACAAAAAGTAAAACTTGGACTTGATTTTGGATATTATAATCAACTTAGTGGCTTAATGCTAAATGTAAGCGATAATTGGTATTTGAATGTGAGAATATGCCTATCTTCCATGCTAACCTGGTTGGAAGAACAATGGAGCAGATACTGAATGAGAGGCTCAGTTGATGTTAACGCATGAGGCCCCCCCTCGCCCGCCAATGCAGGCAGGGTCTAGGGATGTTTAGGATTGTTATTGGTGGCTTTGATTGCCTGAATGCTTTGTCCTCATTCGTATTATTACTGCAAACACCTTGTCATCTGTTTCTTCTTGTTCTTCTTAACTGGTGAGACGTATCATCGGACTGTTAGGTTTATGAGCTACAATTATATGAGCATCGATTCTTTGTACATATTAGAAGGCATACACACATGTATCCAACCATCAACGGGAAACAGGGCCAAATTGCAGTAGATCTTCAAAATAATTGCATGTGCCACTACTTGGGTGGATATTGGACTTAATGTTCTGATTATATCCATGCTCTGACATGTCTGATCTGCCTTTGCGGTTCTCAGTAGTCGCATGAAAAAACTCCTTTGAGAAATGATCTCATCATCATTGCTTAATGGCACCTATTTCTCATCTGAGAAACTTTCTTTCATAACAGTTTGAACGCTTCTTCATTGGCATGCGAGCAAAAGGAACAAAGGCAAAAACAGGCCACAGGTAGAGCAGATTTTGTGCAGGATCTACTTGTCTCCACTCTTTTTGGTGATTAAGAAAGCTGGGGGACATGTTGTTGATGCTACATGGAGGCCATTTTGGTTTCATCTTCCTGCCTTTTAGATGCAAGGTTAAGTTTGGCGTATGTAAACTACCTTAGATTATGTTTACAGTGCAACCGCCCACTTTGCAGAATATGATGCATCATATGTATTAATCAGTTTTAACAATGCTATACGTAGTAATGATGCAGCATACGTATTTCAGAAACATCATATGTGCATGCTATTCTTATGCACTGAGTTTGATGATTAGTGGATGGAGGACTGTATTTGCAAACATAACTGAATCTCTAAAGAGAATTATGTTAAACGACAAACATTAGAATAGCCTTACTACAATTTCAATTATTATGAGACCCGTGTTAGTAGTCTTATGGTCGGATCAACGTGTTTGCATACTACCCAATTAGGACGGTTTGCATACTAAATCAACGGTTGGACCAATAAATACCCATAGAAACATGCCAAAAAGACCAGTTTAGTAAACCGCGATTATATTATACTCCCAACCTTTTTAGGTCATGATTTCAAATATCGGTTGGTAGGTACCAATTGGTACTTAAACTTTTAATAATTTCTTCAGTATATATATATATATATATATATATATATATATATATATATATATATATATATATATATATACATATATATATATATATATACATATATATA